GTACTCAGAAGGCCACGCTGCCAGAGCGGGAACATTGATTCAAGGTCTGCAGATGTAGAGTGAGTCTCGCAAAAGGATGTTTTCCTTTCTCCCCTGTGAACACCAATCTGAATCTTTAGAAATTGTTTTCCCATCTCTGCTACAGCATCTACAATTTGGTGTGCTAGCTGTAATAATATCCAGGTGACAGGTTACCCAGACAACATTTGTTACAATTACAACTAAATGCCATTACAACAAAAGAGGTTCAGATGTGATGTTTTCTGCCTTAGAGGTAGACAGCACTGTCTTATCTAGCATCTGTTTTGCCGTGGTTGGAAGGCTTGGAATATTTAAATACCAACCTCTCCTTACCTGGGTTCCTGTGATTTTACAATGACCCCCAGGGATACGGATCAAAATCCAAACTTCTCAACACCCCTTAGGAGTATCCTGTAACCTGGCCCTAAACTGCCTTTCTAGGTTTTTCTCTCTCTCTCATCAGTATGAACCCTCTGTTCCAGCAACCAGGGTGATGGAGAACAAATCCACGCAACACACCATTGGTGAAGATGAAGTAAATACTGGTGTTGGGCTCAGCCTTCAGGTGATACAGAAGGCCCGAAACCAGCCCCGGAGTCTGAAGGGCCTCCAGCTTCCTCTGTCCAAGAGAAATGATGAAATATCCCCGATAACCACGGTATCCAAGCTGACATTCATTGAGCACTTCCTATGTGGCAGGCACTGTTCTAAGTTCCTCATGCACAACTCATCTAATCCTACGGGGGAGGTGAGAGTGTTATTCCTCTCTGAGGGATGGGGAAACTGGGGCACAGAACCCGGGCAGCGTGGCTGCTGCATCTGCAGGCTTACCCACTCTGCCATTTGGCCTGTCCATAATGCAGTGTTTAAAACACGGAGAGAATACAAGCAGGCTGCTGTGATTTGTGCCATGTAAGTTGTGCTGAAAATAACTGCCTGGGGACTCAGGGGGAAGATGAATCTGCTGCTTGGGGCTGTCAGAAGATGCTTCTGGAAAACAGTTGGTTGAGTCAGATCCTGAGAGAGGTGAGGCCATGTGGCTGTTCGGCCTCTTCTCTCTGCGTCTTACCCTCTGCAACCTGGAGTGGCTGATCTTCGAGTTGACCCCCACGTGCTACAATCCTGCCATGATGTCCTGTGTGGACACAGTGCCCCAAGAGTACTTGCCATGTGGATTTCACGCTACGTCACTCCAAATGCAGGGTGGGGAGGGGAGGGTGAAGAACGGAAGGAAACACGGTGGCCCTGTCGGGAGCCTGGCGGCGCTTTAAACCCCAGCCCACAAAGGCCTGTCGGCATATGGGAGCTACTGCATGATCCACAACGAAGAGGACAGAGTTGATGACATGAAAACGTAATGTGTATGTGAAAGTCACCATAACCAAAATTAAAAGGGAAAACTTTTACAACATATATGACAGTTAATATTCTTAATGATCATATTGGTCAATATTTATGGAGCTAAATGTCCCTACCCCGTGTCATGGCACGAAACCTAGACTCTGACCTCATGGTCAGGGTGCTCCGTCACTTGGTATGTATGATGCTGCCAACGCATAAACAGCACTTAATAATCAGTAAGGAAAGGGTGAATCCTCAAGAGGAAGATGGTCAAAGGACATGTGATGGCTGAGCTGTGTCCCCCCCAATTCATATGTTGAAGTCCCAACCCCGAGGACCTCAGAATGTGAACATATTGGGGACAGGGTCTTTAAAGAGGTAAGTAAGGTAAAAGGAGGTCATGTGGGCGGCCCTAATGCAATAGGACTGGTGTCCTTAGAAGAGGAGGAGATTAGGACACAGACACGCACAGAGGCAACCTCCGTTCTCAGTTTGGGGTGTATTCCTGTCCATGTTTTTACACTTCTACTACACCCATAAGTGATAGAGAGTAATGTCTGTAGAATTTTTTAAATATACAGAAACATTCTCATACTGCAACTTGCTTTTTTTCACTCAACAGATATTTGTGAGATTTATTCGTGTTGATACATGTAGATCTCATTCATTATTTTAATTGTTCCACTGTTTCCTGCTGTGTGAATAGCCCACAATTTACCTTTTCGTTGCCTTATTGATGGACATTTGGATTTTTTCCAGTTCTTTTTTTCCCTGCTATTGAAAGCAATTCTGCAATGAATGTCCTTGTGCATTTCTGCTGGTGTCCATGTGCAGGAATTTCTCCAGGGTTTAAGACCGAGAAGTGGAGAACTGCTGGGATATTGAGTCTGACGTGTCACCTTTTCTAGATGGTGTCAGACTGTTCTCCACAGTGGCTATATCAGCGCACATTCCTCTCAAGAGTGTGAGAATGCTATTTCCCCACATCCTCCTCTCCACTGGGTATTACCAAACCCTCCATGGTTCTAAATCTGATGAATGTGAGACGGTATTTCACCGTGGCCTGAATTATCATTTTATAGGTGCTTTTATAATCAGAAAAACAAACGTTAGAGACACCCCCCCTTAAAAGTAAGTGACAAGATTTTAAAATGAGCTTTTGGTCTCATTTGGACAGCGAGACACACACTATGATGGTGGGCACAGGTGCTTGGGGAGCACAGAGGGGAGGTCCCTAACCCAGGTAGGGATGTGTGTGGAGGGAGCCGTAGGTAGCGATGACATCTCATGGGATTCTTGCAGGAAGAAGAGGGGCCCAGGAAGGGGTCTTTCCTGGCAAAGGACCAGGCAAGTATAACCTCCTAGTGCTGGTTGAGGCCAGAACTCCGCATGTCTGCAAGGAAGACCTTGGATGAATAGTTCAAAGTCATGGCCTCAGAATCAGAGTGCAGGTCTGTCCATGGCAAGAGAGAAACACACGTGAAATGCACTTTCCTCCTACGCATCTCCCTACAGTCTTACTGTCAGAACTGATTCTTATCAGCCCAGGATGGCTACGGTGAAGGCACAGAGACATCAGAGAATCAGGACCTGCCCAGAGCATTGACAGAGGCGGCGGTGGGAGCCCGGGGCTGCAAGGCCCAGGACAGGGCAGGGGCTCCCTCCTCAGTAGCCGGGGAGGCTCTGCTTCTTCACAGAGAACACGGTGCTTGAAGACTCCTGGGACTGTAAGTGACAGGTTGCAATTTCACATTTGTGCTCTAAAAATGTTTCCTGTTTCACAGAATGCTGGGGACGTCCCTAGGTAATCAGATGTTAGCCCTGTTTGTTCCAGAAAAGGCTGCAGCCTGGGGGCTGTGGTGAGGGCAGGCCCTGCCTGAGTGTGTGTTCCAGGAACCCTCTCATGAGGCCATCTGCTTTTTGCAGGCTATTTCCCTCCCTGGGGTGTGAAGCTCACAGCGCAGGGCCTGAGACGTGCCTGCGATCCCCTCCCAGCTGGACAGGATCTGAAATGTACACGTCCACAGAGGCTTCTATGGCTGCTCGTCGTGATTTTAGCAGCAAGAACCTGCAGTTTCTGAGTACAGAAATACTGTACTCAAAGCAAAATACTTCTATCTAGCAACCCCAAGAATCGCAGATAGGAAGAGTCAAACGGAAGAGGGCCACAGCCTTCCTGTGGAGATGACACAGGAGCGCCCCAGGCCCCGTCTTAACGAGGCAAGTACCTGATAAATATTTGCCTTTCCTCTGGCCCTTCTCATGGCTGCCCGGTTACCATCCAAAAGACAAATCTGATCATGTCACTTTGCTGCTCAGAATCCTCGGGTGACTCCCTGCTTCCTCAGCACAGATTTTCAAAATGTTTTTTTTTAATGAAGTGGACCCTTTTTCAAACCAAATCTTAGAATCCTAACATCAAGAGCAAGTAAAAGTGGTGAATTTCACTACCTATTTGTAAGCTCAGATTTATAATCTTATGGTAACTCATCTAGGACACCAGCTAACACATTTGGGGGTCTGCTCTGGGTGAGGATTAAGTAAATACCTTATGTGAGTGCTGACCTGGGTCTGGAGAATATACCAGGGGCCCTTGCCTTTAAAATGCCTAGTTTTAAAAGTCCAGGCCTATGGGCCACTTCCTCCCCCGGCAGAGCAGGGCGTTCCCAGCTGTTCCCAGCCCGGCTCAGCTACATGTCCAGTCTTGGGTCTGTCTACGCTCCCACAGGTAAAAGGCACTCTGTTCAGGCTGAGTGGACACCCCCCTTCCCTTCCGCCAAGGCTTCAGAAGCCACTTATCCACAAGATCCAGCCCGAAAGCAGCCTTCCACCCACCGGGCCCCCCTCACCCAGGAGGAGCTGCCCGCGGGGCATTTGGGGAAATGTCTAACATATTACCCAACTCGTCGTATTATTACTGTGTCTCTCCCGGATGGTGCCGTAAGCATCTCGAGGATGGGCATGTCTCATTCACTCCTTACTCCCCTCTATGCACATGATGCCTGGCAGAAGGCCCTTGGTTTGTCATGGTGAAAGAGTGAATACACAAAGGAACTGATGATTTTTTTTTTTTAATTTACTGCCTTTGGGGAACTGGGGACTAGGAAAAATTAAAGCGTTTCATCAATGTTATCAGAGTTGCCCCTCTGAATGAAAAGTGAAAAGTAAACAATTTCCCTGGGACCTAAGGCATACAATTCATTCCGGAAACTTCTTAAAAGGATTAGGTGAAAGCCCTGTAGCAGAAGAAAGATGTTTCTAGAAACTTGGGAGCAGAGCCCAGGTCTATATCTTCTGTGAAAAACTAGCCTGTTGTTTTCCAAATACACATCAAAATAGCCTACTTATTTCTGAGCTGAAGGGAAGGTCAATTACAGATGGTATTGCTGCGAACCATGAACACATGGAAGAAATTCTGGGTTAACAAAATGTAAATTTCTATCTGCAAGGAAACGTTAGCACACAGCTCACAAACAGCAGAGGTTTGGGTCCACCATCTCTCAGTTCAGAAAACGCCAGGCTGCTGTAGACAGGATTTTTTTTTTAACCTCTTAGACATCTAATAAAAAGAGATGAAATCCACCTAATCGTTATTTCTCTCTGAACTGTGAACTCTTGAACCACTGCCGCTTGCTTACCCAGAATAATGCCGTTGGGCTCCTCCGGCGGCTGCCACACAATCCGCACAGATGTGAGTCTCACTTCCGGGAACACGAGCCTCACCGGCGGGCCTGGGGCTGAAGGGAAAAAAAAAAACTCGTGATCCAGGTAACCTTACGATGTTATCTAGGCACATGACAAGGTTGCATAGGATTCTGTGGGCTAGCCAGCACAGTCACTACCATGGATGACACTGTTCACGGGTGAAACACTCGAAGTTTTGGGCAAATGCCTTTTGGAATCTAACTGGCTCTGTGTGGCTCCCTAATCACTTTGAGAAAAGACCTTATTTTGAATTCAGCTCATCTGCTTTCCAAGTTTTGAAAAGCAGTGCTCGTAAACTCTTCTGGGAGTCCTGTGAGTGTAAGTCGCGTGAAGCTGGCAGACCAGTCGCTAAATGGCATCGCAGAGTGTACACCAAGTTGAGAGTAAAGATTTCACCATCTGAGCTGATTTCTTTCCTGGGCTTGACATCTGCAAAGCAGGTGTTAGATAGATGAGATGGCCTAAGGTCCCTCCCAACTCTACATAGAGGTTATAATTACTGACAAAACAAAATGTGTATAATCAATGATTTTTCTCTTACGCACACTACTCCTCTCCTGCCTTGTCCTAGAAAATTAAGAGTTGATGCTCACAAATGCATATAATAATTCTGTGTGGTACAGTGCACCAATAACTAAAAAGGCAGATACATCTTGTGGCGCCATTGACTAATAAGGTCATAGCCCTCGTAAAATGTATTTACTTAAACGGACAGGTGAGTAAGTGTGTGGCCAGTATCAGAATTTTCTTGTTGGAACTCAATAACTGATTGATTCCCAGGCAAGAGGCAATGGGCATGGAACAATCAATGCAAAAATAAAATGTGTGTTACAGTCATTCCAGGGATGTTGAATTCTGCCTCTAGCTATTAAGCTGAGAACAGTATTTTAAATTTTAAACATGTGTTACGACTCCTGTGTTTGAGTAAAATAAACGTAAGAAGGAGGCCACGGGGCTCATAGGCCAGGACCAATTCGAAAATACGCAAACTCTGACGTCAGTCTTGCGTGGCACCATTCCCTGTGCCATGCCCAAGGCTGACCATTTGGATCACACTGAAATGAGGGGGAGGAAAAACATGTTCACATTAGGACCGAGAGAGAAGAGGAAAAATCATTCTGTGACTTGCCGACCTACACTCTAGGAAGACACAACTATAATTGAGGAACAGTTTCTAAAACGCCCCTTTTACATTCATTTGTGTAACCTGGGACACACTATAGCTTCATATAGTTCTGCAAAGGAACAACCTTCAGGTCACATTTCCCTTCTCCGATACCCATCCGCCCTGAGATTCTGCATTCAGGGCAGGACCAACAAAACAGTTTGCCGGGCTCTTTCGTCTCACTGAGGTGAGGCCCAGCCATGGTGCTATCTTGGAGTAAAACAGAAAGTTTCAACTCAGCACTTGGAGTCTGTTTGGGGGCTAATTTAGTTACGTCAGTAAAGATGCTTAAGAAAATCTACGGTTGTTTCCTTTCTGTCAGACGCTTCTGACCCCTGAGGTGGTTTTTGGGGGAAGCTCAGTACTTTTCCCCCTGACATGTTTGTCATAGTCTATCTAATAATGAAAATGTAAAGGAGCTAACCTTTAAGTGTTTGACGTCTGCGAAGTGGCAGACCATATTTACTGATGATTTAGACGTCCATAAAAACAAAGCTGCCAAGACGCACTTGTTATTGAGGCCTGGAAACATGAGGATCCGGGCTCCCTGGAAGCCCCGAACACCCCACACTCTATATGGGAACTTCTAATTATCTCTTATTATGCAAATGACGAGAGCAGGCAGCACAGAGAGAATCGGGGCGCATAGGTTGGGGTGGGTGTTTATAGCAGATTTGTGCAGACACCACTGAGAGCAGCGGCCTTACAGTTTACGGCCCCAGCCCGCCCGGCCTTTATGGCACTGCCTACAGCAGAGTTATGATGGAAATTCTGCATAGGTTCATAATTAGGCTGTAAAAATTCACTCCAGGCTGAAATTGGCCATATAAACTCTCACTGACTGAAAAACAATTTTGTTTTGTTTTTCTCAACCGAAAAAAGAAAAAAAAAGTAATGTCAAAATCAAGTTAAAAATGACAACCATCCCAACTGTTTGGAGTGTTAAAGCAAACCAGGGAGACAGCAAGGCACAAACCGTGGGCGTACCGTCATCTTTGGTCCGCTCGAGGATGAGGGGCGAGCTGGGCACCCCATTCCCGATGCGGGTGAACGCCAGCACCTGGAGTTCGTATAGCACGAACTTCCGCAGCCCCGCCAGGAGCGCCGACTGCGTGTGGTTCCCTCGCACGACGTGACTTCTGGGCTCAGGATCCAGATCTTTGGCCCGGAACAGAATCTGAATTATCAACATACAAGTACAGTGGTCAGAGGGTTGTAGCGTGCTAGGAAGGGGCCTCAGTGGGCACGGGGGGCTCACAATCACAAGGCAAGGACCAGCCAACTGTGTTCTCTCCCCCAGGACAGCTGTGTGGAAGGCCTGGGGATCTAATTTCTATACGCTGGCATTTAGGGGAAGGATGGCGAGGAAGCGATTGTACTCCACAGTAGAAGGGGAGCTGGAGTCATGACCCAGCCAATGGCTGGGCAAGTTGGCTGCCTGGCCATAATTTGCAAGATCTGAGGCATCCAATGGCAGCCACGCCAGAAACAGCCACTGAAACGAGGACTCAAGTATGAACACAGACATTCTGCTTCCCACAAAGCAGCCAGCAGCTCACTCTGTTTCCCAGCTTATAGGGAAATTGGATTCCTGCCTGGGAAGAGCTGCTGTTCTCCACCTGACCTAAGGCTGCAGGCCCCCTGGCCTATTTGCTGCTGCCCACGCTGCAGACACAGCCATCCTGAGATGCTCTCCTCCACTCCCCGCCTGCTCCTCCTTATTTCCTGATTCCCCACTCGAAGCTCACTCTCTCTGAACTGGTCCCTAAGACTAGTGACTCTGAAGGCTGTAAAAGAAGGGGGTCATCAGGGAGGATTTTGGAAATAACACAGGAAGCATTTTTCTCCAGGACCCAGGTATGTGGTGGAGTTTTGCTCACTGAACCCACTCAATGGGATCGCCGTGTCTAGTGGGATCGCCATGTCTAATGGGATCACGATGTCTGATGGAGCCAGAAGGGAGCGATGAGAATGCCCACGGAGGGGCAGCCATGAAAACAGGTGGGAAAAACAGAATAGGGATCTAAATTGTGGAAAGTACAGAGGAGACAGGCTGGAAATCTGTGCAGCAGCGCATGGGACAAGTGTAGGCTTGCTGGCCAGATCCAGGACCATTCATTCTGCTGCTTGGGGGCGGTGAGCTAAGGAGCAGAAGGGGGAGACGGGCTTGTCACCCTGAGTGATGGAACAAAAACAGAAGTAGGTTTTTAAGGGCCTGGGCAAATGCACGTAAGACTAAACTCAGAAACGGTTCCCGGAGAAGCTGGGATGTGACCCTTACTGTTGATGGCACTGCCTAGGACTGAATGGGGTGGTGATGACACATGGGCAGACATGCATGCATTTATCTAACAACACTTAGCACTTAGCACGAGCAAGGCACACTTTATAAAGTAACCCACTTCATTCTCATATCAACCCTCGGAGGTTGCTACCATTATTAGCCCCATTTACCAGTGAGGAAACAGAGGCTCAGAGTTTACGTAGCTGGCTACTATCTGTGCCTTGTGTTGGCCTCTGTTAAGAGGTTCTACCAATGCCTAGTCCCCAGACTGCAGTGAGGCTTAGATGAGACAACTGATGGGAAAACCATGAGACAGGCCAGTGTATAGATCTGGAAGAAAATACAAGCTCCTTGGTTTGGGTGAGTGACATGAGATGGCATCGTCACAGCTCAAGCAAAGGAAGGTCGCCTTAGCACATACCTTGTAGCCCAGGATGAGCCCATTCTGGTCTTGCTCGGGTACCGAAGCCCACGTCAGTAAAATCTGGGTCGAGCTGACAGCCTCTGCTGACACGTTTTCTGGGGCGGCTGAAGGAACTGCAGAGAACAAGTTAAACAGATTTAAATGAGTTAAATAGATTGGCACCAAAGTCTAAAGGATCCTACAATAAAGGTCCAATTTTTACCCAAATAATCAAGTTCTCCTTGAAATAGCAATGTGTTCTGAGTACTTTGTAGAGATCAGATTAAACTGCAGGGGTATAACAGAAATGTAAATCTCTTTAATATTAGCAACAAATTCCACAAATCCTGGGTATTGAGGAGCTCAATTTTACCTGAGTCCGCCCAGTGAGAGAACGTGCTCCGTCTCGTTTTATATTAACTTGTGGGAACAGCAGACTTTTATCTCAAATGGGAAGTCCTCGCCTTCAGACTCCAGTTCACTGACACCTCTAAACATGGTATTTTGTGAGGGGAGCAGGCGGGCTGGAGAGGAGGTGATGTGTGGTCCACACGAAGCAGAGGGAAGGTTTACCACGTGCCAATGATGTGCACATCCCTGTGCTCAGTGTCTTCAGATACACAACCGCATTTAATCCCCACAATAACCCAATGAAGTAGGTATTATTACCCTGTTCTACAGATGGAGAAACCAAGGCTGGAGGAAATTGCATACATTCCATTTAAATGAACACTTTTTTTACAATGAGATGGGCCTATGGTGGCAAGCTGTGCGATTCTTGACCCATGTGCACATAAGATAATGGTTTCATTCTCTTCTGTTTACGTTATGTCACTGAACTAATTTGTCTTGATATGTTTGCAATGGTTCAGATATAATGTGTATAAAGACAACAAACTTTAAAAGTAAGGACTTTATATTCTAGATAATCTCAAGTTGCTTTGATGATTTTTTTGTGGACTCATTTAAACATCATTCAGATGATGGGAAAAGATGGATCTGGAGAGTCCTCCAGCAAAGTCGGGGGATGCACTGTTCATGAACAGGCACCGAGCAAAGGGCAGCCCGCAGCCGTGGCCTGAAGATCACACCACCCTCCACTATAGTCAAAAGGGAGGTGAAACACTTCAAGTTCACCGCCTTTCACGAGTATGTAACCTGTGATAGGACTTGGCACCTTCTCATTCAACCGTCAAGACGACCCTGCAGGTGAGGGAAGGGAGGATCTGAGAGATCACGTGACCTGCCCTCGGTTACTACTAAGTGGCAAAATTGCCACTTGACGCTGGGTGATCTTGAGGCTCACACAGGGAAGTGAGAGGCTCACAGGCTCTGGAGCAAGACCAGACTCAGAGAATCCTGAGTTGTGTGACCTGGGAAAACTGCTATATCCCTTTGTGCCTTGGTTGTCCCATGTGTGAAATGGTTAAGCCCAGCCCACCAATGTCCTTGAGCCCATCTTCTCTCCCCCATCCTGGTGCCCAGCACTCAGCTTTGCAATTAGCAGGTGATCAATGGCTATGTGTTGTGAAGAAAGTGAAACGGTGGTATTCTCACCACGCTCCCTGTGGGAAAAGGATGGAATGAACGCCGTGAAGTGCCCGGCACACAGAAGTGCAGTCTCCTCTCTCCTTGGCAGGCCTACCAGGACTCTATGAACTGTGAGATGTGTGAATGCACTTCCAAAACAGGAACACTCAAGCAGGGGGCTTTCTCTACCCTCCATCCACAGACCCATTCATTCACCCATTCATAAGTACTTTCTCCTTGTAGCAAAGAGACTGTGAAGGTAGCTGTTGGTCAGTTAGTCTGAATTACAGAAAGTGATGTGGGTTTGCACAGTAAAACTGCTCTCCAACGTTTGATCCACAGATTTTCTACACCAAAGTGATTTGGTCTTTGTTATGGGTTGAATTGTGTCTCCCCAAAAAATCATATGTTGGAGACTTAATCCTGATACCTCAGAATGTAACCTTATTTGGAAATAGGGTTGTTGCAGATGTAATTAGTTCAGATGAGGTCATAGTGGAGGACACTGGGCCCCTAATTGAATATGACTGGGGTCCTTATAAGAAGAACACCACGTGAAGAGACAGACACGTACGCAGGGAGAACGGCATGGGAAGACTGGAGTTACGCTGCCACAAGCCAAGGAACCACAAGAAGCCGGGAGAGAGGCCTGGAACAGATCCTCCCCTAGCACCTTCAGAGGGAGCACGGCCCTGCTGACACCTTGGTCTTGAACTTCCGGCCTCCAGAACTTGGAGAGAATAAATTTCTATTGTTTTAAGCCACTCAGCTTGGGGTACTTTGTTACAGCAGCTCTCAGAAACTAATACAGTCTTTAAGAAAAAGTGCCAGGATTGATGCGAGTGGTGGAAGAAGTGCTGTTAGGTTATTTGGTAAGCTTGACCGGGTCATACCACACCAGGAGATTCTGTGGACAAAGGCGAGGGACAGAACACGAAGTCGCAGCCTTAACAGGACAAGATGCTGGGGAAACACTGAGCCTGGGGTGGGGGTGTCAGCGCCCCTAGAGGGGGAAGTCATGGAGGGCATGCTGAAGGGCAAAGACCTCAGCTGCCAGCCCCAAGAAAGGGCGACTTCCCTGCCTTGACAGCCCAGGAGGCAGCGGCTTCTCCCTCTCCCGTTCTCTCCTTACTGTGCTGACCTTCTTCAGAACACAGGCATTAGATCGGCTGCCGTGCAGGTCAGCCAGTGTGCCCGTAAAACAGCAAAGACACCTGGTCATGCCTGTTACTACAAAGCATAGGCACCCTTCTTGTACTTCTGGAGAGAGAGAATGCTGGTCAGCCTGCACCTGGGAGATAAAATTTTTATTCCCAAATATGTCAGTTGAGAGTCATTCTTCCAGTTATTCAGTCATTCAACAAAATAATTATAATTTGTTTGAGCAGTTAAGCGTCACAGAAAAAGAATATTTATAATTTTAAGTTTCCTCCCTGAAAGGGAAGGATGCTTGTCACACATGCCACTCTCTGTGTCCCCAGTGCCTTCCAACGGTGGTTCCACAGCACTCATTCATGTTCCCTGTGTCTCCCACAGGGCCCCCAAGGGGTGTCTTAAATTCCACCATGGCAGTTACCAGAAAACTGCTTACATATATGCTTATTTCACTAAAAAATGAGTGATAAACTGGTGCCTTGAATCAACCATGAATTAAAGTACTCACTATCATTGAAAGAAAATGTAAGCCTACAATTCCCTGACTTTATTTTCTGACTTTATCTAGAATAAGATGAGAACACCAAACATACTGTATGCTGAATGTATTAGTGCTATGTTCTAAAACCTCTGTTCCTGTCTGTAAAAAGACAGGCCACTGTCATAGCAACACAACTGATCTACCTCCTCTTAACTGTTTCCTGCGTGTAACTTACTTTGAAACAGTGAGTGCCCAATTCTCATACAGATCTACCAGTACTAGCTGATTTTCTGCCATGTGTAATATGTGCACCCATTTACTGGAGGGCCATCTGCGTCCCGGAAGAAGGAGGGCAACCTGGAAACTGTAGCCATTCAGACACGGCGCTTACAACACGGCTGGGCCGCTAACGAGGAGAAAGGCAGAGAAAATGGCAGTGTTCAGGGTTAAAATTTCAGCCGATGCCAGTTCCACCAGGATAAAATCTGCCATTTAGTTACCAAGTATTTATGTTTTTAAGATTTGAAAAAGAAAAATCTTACCCATTATCTATTTTGAGGCAGATTCAACTCCTTTTCCAACCTGACATCTTAAGTCTTGAGACCGTCTTAGAAATTCTACTTTCATTAAAAGCAAGACCGTTTAAAGCACTTATTTTTCCTTCTCCATTTGTTCTCTTTCCTCTCCAGCATTTCTCACTGCTCAGTTGGCTGCTCTTCCTCATGCAGTCTCTTTTGGTTCTTAAGGCCTCATTTATCCTTATATCACAATAAATTATAAGATGTCATGAAACCAGTTGGATCACACTCCAAAACAGTAGTTGTTCAAAATGTTCTGCCCATGCTTCCAACACTAGTTTTCAGCACACCTTTATACGGTGCTATTTTTAAGTACCAAGGTACAGTCATCTTCCCTGAGGTGATGCTTTACTCCAGACATGAGTCTGCAGTTTTATTCTCCTCTACCACTGGCCCTGGAAATCCCTTCATGCTCTCCTACCTCCCCCGACTCTCCGCCCACACCTCAAAATGCCAAGCAGTGCCCGGCAGGATCAGTTCCCTGAGGGAGTGGAGTTCTCTGCTGAGGAATGTCTGTGTCCAACTTCAGCAGAACCAGGGAAGGCAAGACATCAGAACTGCTACACCTGGGAGGGGCTTGCTGGTCATAGGCAAGGAGCTTCCTATAGCAGAAGGTACTGGAAGCTCCATTCAGAGGTGGAGGTACCAAAGCCCTACAGGACCAGCAACACTGGAGGGGGTGCCAGAGAATGTGCCAGGTGGAGGGGACCAACATTTGAGCACCAGTACCCCTAGAGGAGAGATCAGCCCAAGAGGGGTCCCGAGGAGCCCACTCTTCTAGCATTAAAAATATCTGAAGTCATGGGTTGGGCCCCGTGGCTTAGCAGTTAAGTGCACATGCTCTGCTACTGGCAGCCCGGGTTCGGATCCTGGGCATGCACTGACGCACCGCTTCTCTGGCCATGCTGAGGCCGCGTCCCACATACAGCAACTAGAAGGATGTGCAGCTATGACATACAACTATCTACTGGGGCTTTGGGGGAAAAAAAAAAAAAGGAGGAGGATTGGCAATAGACGTTAGCTCAGAGCCGGTCTTCCTCAGCAAAAAGAGGAGGATTAGCACAGATGTTAGCTCAGGGCTGATCTTCCTCAAAAAAAAAAAAAAAAAATCTGAAGTCTGAATTATCCACATCATGAAATGAAGGTCAATAACCCTATTATTCAATTTATGATGAAAACACCTGCTGAACCAAAGCTCTTCTTTTCTTCTCAGGGAGATAAGTGTTGAACCAAAATTTCTAAATGAACAAACCTTTAAGAAAAAACTAAAAAATGATTTTCTGTAAGCCATAATCCTCAAAAGAAGAAAGAATGGGATAGCTGACAAAGCAAAGCCTAAGTTGTAAGAACAATTCTTCCTCTAGATCAAAAACTTTGTTAACAAGTGAAT